TGGACTCTGAGTAAACTTACATTGGCAATTAAAGACCCTAAACTCTGCAGAAAGAGGAGCGGCTTCCTTGCTGCCCAGACTCTCAATGAAGAAGAATTCCTGGGGTCTGAGACTTCTCGCTTGGCAATGACATTGGCTTAAATATTCCCAGACTCAAATCCTTGGGTCTTAGATTGGGTCTTGGGATGATGCAAACTGATAGAATTGCAGGCAATGAGTGTCAGAATAAACCAGTGGACAGGAATGTGGAAGACTTGAGGGAGGGGGTCAAGAACAGGCACAGAGAAACCACTCCCCTCCCTCAGACACCCACCTGGGGAAGCACCAACTTTGCCATCCTTGAGAAGACAATGGGAAAGCGGGGAGTGTGCATAGGGTGGGTGATGGTGTGTACTGTTTGCAGAAAAACTCCCTTCCCTAAATGGGACTTCATTAGCTTAGCCCATCTATTCTATCCACTGCTGAGCACAGAGGCATCCTGTGAGGATAAATACGCAAACTCCCTTCCCAGGACCCAGTGTTCCCTCTTTGTGGGAAAAACATCTGTGCTCCACATTTGGATTATAGCATCTTATTTATTTATTTATTTATTTATTTATTTATTTATTTATTTATTTATTTATGTTGAGATGGAGTCTCACTAAGTTGCCAGGCTGGAATGCAGTGGCACGATCTCAGCTCACTGCAACCACCGCCTCCTGAGTTCAAGCGATTCTCCTGCCTCAGCCTCTTGAGTAGCTGCGACTACAGGCATGTGCTACCAAGCCCAGCTAATTTTTACATTTTTTCAGTAGAGACGGGGTTTCACCATGTTGGCCAGAATGGTCTTGATCTCTTGACCTCGTGATCTGCCCACCTCGGCCTCCCAAAGTGCTGGGATTACAAGCATAAGCTACCACTCCCGGCCATCATTTTTCATTTTTCATCTTTATTTGAGACAGAGTCTTGCACTGTCACCCGGGCTGGAGTGCAATGAAGCTATCTCAGCTCACTGAAACCTCCCTCTTCTGGGTTCATGTGATTCTCCTGCCTCAGCCTCCTGAGTAGCTGGGATTACAGGTGCACACCACCATGCCCAGCTAATTTTTTTTTTTTTTGTATTTTTTGTATTTTTAGTAGAGAAGTGGTTTCATTATATTGACCAGGCTGGTGTCAAATTCCTGACATCATGATCCGCCTGCCTTGGCTTCCCAAAGTGCTGGGATTACAGGCATGAGCCCCCACGCCCAGCCCACATTTACATTATAACATCTTGACCCTTGGCTCCCCAGCTGCCTTGTGACTCTGTGTGTGTGTGTGTGCGCTCACGTGCTGTGACAGACAAGGAAAAGCCAGTAGAGTCATCGCCACTGGCCTGGCAGGAGGAGGTGGCCCTCGGGCTGCAGTGCACTGTGCTGTTTGCATTCTGATCCTTGGAAGAATCTTTCCTGAAGTCGTAGAGCTTCTAGCTCCTCTGGAACAGAACTAGTTGTGTAGGGGTGTGTCCTTCATGCCTCCAAGGCCTCTGACCTTCTCCTCATCCTTCCTGAAGGGAATCCAGCACCCCTGACTCTGAGCACATCACCTGCTGGTGGCAAAGCCCCTGCTCATGATGGCCAAACTGGGCCCTGGTGATGTGCAGAGCGTGGAAGACCCGGGGGCTGGAGTGAGGCAGTGACACAGATGACAAACATGGGGATGCCTTGGCACTGCCTGAGGACACAGGGTCTGGTCTGTAGGGCTGTTCTGACCTTACTGAGGCCTCACGCCTGTAATCTTAGCACACTGGGAGGCCAAGGCAGGCAGATGACCTGAGATCACAAGTTTGAGACCAGCTGGCCAACATGGTGAAAACCTGTCTGTACTAAAAATACGAAAATTGGGTCAGGCACAGTGGCTCATGCCTGTAATCCTATTACTCTAACAGTCTGGAAGGCCAAGACAAGCAGATCACTTGAGATCAGGAGTTCCAGACCAGCCTGGCCAACATAGTGAAACCCCATCTCTACTAAAAATACAAAAAGTAGCCGGACTTGGTGGCTGTATGTAATCCCAGCTACCCAGGAGGCTAATGCAGGAGAATCGCTTGAAC